TGGATAAACTGGCCCACTTGTTCTCGGAGCGAAGCAGAAAAGGAAGAAGGTACCATTAGGAAGAGGGCATACAGAGCGTGTACCGGTTCTTGATGAAGATCATTTTCTATATACGAGAAAACTTTAACTTCGAACATAACAGCTATTCTGTAAAATTCAATGCTTATTGCGTTGATTTGAGTAACATAATACATGTTATTATTTTCTCTAAGCCCGGAAGGAAGTGAGCAGATGTAGTCTTTTTTGTAAACCTGATAATTTCATGATCAATAATTTTCAATTTATATTTTAATATATTGTTTGCCTTTCGTAATCCAGTAGAGTTACAATTTAGAACCTAATAAAAAATCCACTTACCATATGACATATATTGTCTAAGTGGGAGTAAAGAAAGTGTGAGTAATATGTTTAGACAAAGAAGAAGAAGAAGAAGAAAACCTCAGCGGCGCGTGAGAGCGTGTTGGAACATAGCGACCCAGCATGGGTATGCGCCACATCAGCAAGGATCTCGACTTGACTTCACTAGGTCTGTCGATTCACAGCTTCCACGTGAACAGTCGGGACGACCACCCTCCGCTAGTGATATGAAGCAGGCGGGGGGCTGCGGCATATTGCTGACCAGACGGGAGACCTCGGCAAGACGCCTCCTCTCTGCAACTCATCCCCACATTGGACACGTACGAAAGGCCGTCCATCCTTTCCTGCCTGGCATCCATCTTTGCACGGTGAGCATGGCCATCCATCCATTGCACGAATGCGTGGCCATGGCCAAGGGAGCTACCCGGCCGCTTCATCTGAGCCTCGGTGTGGATCGTACGCTTCGCTACCCAAATGGTACTAAGCCTGCCAACTTGCTACCCCTCCTGGATAGCGTCTTCTCCTATGAGCGGCTGAAGAACCCTCTTGATGGCACATCATGCAATTACTGTGATCGACACCGGAATGCTGCTTTGTTCCGAAGCGAGACGATCTCGCAGAACCCCTTCTTGCTGCAGGCTCATTCTTCGACACTGCTATCACTTTCGTGCACCCGCCTGACGACCACTGGCATCGACACCCGCTCTGAGAACGAAGGAAGAACTACGCGTTCACCTTTCTTCTGGCGTCGTCCACCGTTTGAGACTAGTTCGCCCTTGAAGGATGCTTACATCATTTATCAAGGAAAATTAACTGCCACGTACCACCTTAAGCAGTGAGTCCCCTGGCTAGACACCCCATGTCATGAAGGGGGGATCGAGATAGCCAGTCGTTTCCAAGGAAGAGTTTCTGACAGAAGCCAACTTTCCGGCATTACCTGGTCTTCCAAGACGACAGTGTATCTAAGACATGAACAGAGTGCGGGAAGCGGGAAGACAGCCTGCAGGAGTTTAGCGAAAGAGTATTTCTTTGTTTGTAAATGTATTAATACTTTGCTGTTTTTATATGTATTGAATAAATACCTCTTTTAATATTCGAAATGCTTCTCTACTATATGTGCAATAAGTAGCGGTTGATGGGGTAAAAAAATAGAAAAGGGAAGAGATAATCGATAACTTGAATCATATGCCGATGGTCGCTAGTAGTGCTGGTTACGGTGGTATACAATAAAAAATTCGTTAAACCCATTGCTCACAGCATTGTATCGAGAGATATATGTTGGTGCTGCCCACAATCTTCCTAGATTCCTAGTCCCGCCGCGGTGGTCTATTGGTTAAGCTGGTCGGCTGCTCATACGCAGGTCGCGGGATCGAATCCAGACTGCAGCTGCGGCGGCTGCATTTTCAAAGGAGGTGAAAATGCAGTAGGCCCGTGTGCTCAGATTTGGGTTTATTAAAGAACCCTAGGTAAGCAAAATTTCTGGAGCTCTCCTCTACAGCGTCTCTGATAATGATATGATGGTTTTGGGACGTTAAACCACACATATGAATGAATGAATGAATCAATCAATCAATCAATTGATCAATAGATCAATCAATCAACCAATCAAGCAATTACCCCTCCCCCCTTCACTTTTCTCAATTCTTGTGCACTGCGCTGGCCTTAGAGCTACTAAGTTTCTTGACTACGGCTTGCTAGCTGAGGCCAGTTTAGACCTCTTGTGTAAACCATGGGCGGCGAAATTCAGCGTTCCCATTTTTTTCTTCTTTTTTTTTTGTAATGACTGCGTGAGTGCCATGTGTTATCGCACATATGGCTTCTTTCAGGTGGGTGGCAACAAGTGCGCTCACCTTATGGTTTGATTTATTAGGCAAACATGCTGTATGCGCTCTTTGTTTTTTCTTCATCGGTGGTCTCGCGCCACAATGTTTTAGGTGTTATGGTACTTGATCGAAGACCCATAATTCGGGGGATGAAATCCCGGCAGTGGCGGCCGAGTTTCGAGACGGGCAATATGCTAGACATTGAAAATAACAAAACCTTTGTCTTCAAAGACGAGGGGGTGGGGGGCTGGAAGATGATGCTATGATGATGCTAGACATTAGGTGCTTCAAAGATAATGTTGAGCCTTAAAGAATGCTCA